CATGCCCACATGCTGAGAGATTTGTAACACGTGCAACCTAAGTTTGAGTAAACAATTCCTGAATATTAACCAAAACCCAAAGCAAACCACACACACACAGTGTAAAAAAAAAAAATGGCTAAGGATATTAACTGGCATTTTACAGAAGAGGAACGTGAGACGAAAAAGATTCTTAACCTTAATAGTAATCACAGTTGTGAAGTTGAAGACACACAGGGTAGAATTCTAGAATTCCATTTCTGGTTACACAGCCTGGAGATACGTTCACAGGTAAGCACCAGGAGACATTTATGAAAATATGCATTTCAGAATTTTGTAAACTAGCAAAATAGAACCCTACAACAATCTGAAATTGTTGGAAACAAGCTAATTCTATAATCAGGAGAATTGAGAAGTTCGGTATTTGAAAGTAGTCCATATGACAATTAAAACTAATAGACTGGAACAATGTGTATCAACGTGGATAATACGTTTCAGAAACAATATTAGTATAAAACCAAGTTGCACAGGCTACACACAGTTTGGTATCAATTACAAAGTTTAAAGACATTCAGAAAAATACATAGTCTTAATGGTTGCATATATGTGTACTAATAACATAAATGGCGGATACAGTAAACAGGGTAGTGTTGCTAACCTCTCGGGAGTGGGGGGAAGGAGATGATACGGGAGGGAAATGGGATACTTAGGGAGAGTCAGTACCGTTCTGGTAAATATTTTCCGTTACACTGTTTATTATTTGTTATAAATATAAATACAATTTGTTTGTCTAATTAGGTTTTAATATTTCCTTTCTTTAAAATATTAATGATTATGGCGGCGCCTGGGTGGCTCAGTCGGTTGAGCGTCCGACTTTGGCTCAGGTCATGATCTTGTATTCGTGGGTTCAAGCCCCGTGTCGGGCTGTGTGCTGACAGCTCGAAGCCTGGAGTCTGCTTCGGATTCTGTGTCTCCTGCTCTCTCTGCCCCTCCCCCGCTTGTGCTCCGTGTCTCTCTCTCTCTCTCTCTCTCTCTCTCAAAAATAAAAATATACATAAAAAATATTTTAAAAATGATGATTATGAATCCTTTCACTATTTTCCTTTTCTGTAATTCTTTTAGTCTTCTTTAACATCTGAGAACTAGGAAGCATAAGAGACTCTTAAAAACTGAGAACAAACTGAGGGTTGATGGGGGGTGGGAGGGAGGGGAGGGTGGGTGATGGGTATTGGGGAGGGCACCTTTTGGGATGAGCACTGGGTGTTGTATGGAAACCAATTTGACAATAAATTTCATATATTGAAAAAAAAAGAAATCACAGAAAATATTGAAATACAAATTGTCATATTAAAAAAGTAAAAAATAAAATCTGAGAACTAGGGCTGCCTGGGTGGCTCAGTCGGTTAAGTGTCCACCTTTGGCTCAGGTCATGATCTCACGGCCTATGGGTTCGGGCCCCACATCAGGCTCTGTGCTGACAGCTCCGAGCCTGAAGCCTGCTTCTGATTCCGTGTCTTCCTCTGTCTCTGCCCCTCCAGTGCTCACACTCTCTCGATCTCAAAAATAAATAAACATAAAAAAATTTTGTTAATCTGAGAAATACACCAGGAGCAGTTATGTGTAGTAATTATACAGCTTTTTTTTTTTTTTGAGAGCACAAGGGAGAGGGGCAGAGAGAGAGAATCTAAAGCAGGCTTCATGCTCAGCGTGGAGCCTAACAGTGGTCTCTTATCTCAGCGACCATGAGATCATGACCAGAGTGAAAATAAAGAGTTGGACACTTAACCATCTGAGCCCCAGGTGCCTCAGCTTAATATATATTTTTCTAAAGTTTGTTTACTTAGAGAGTGTGAGCTGGGGAGGGGCGGGGGGGGAGAGGGAGAGAGAGAGAGAGGGAGAGAGAGAAGCCCAAGCAGGCTCCACATTGCCAGCACGGAGCCCAATGTGGGGCTCGAACCCACAGACTGTGAGATCATGACCTGAGCTGAAATCCAGAGTCGGATGCTGAACTGACTGAGCCACCCAGGTGCCCCACTATCTCTTAAAATAAAAATATAATACATTTTTTATAGTCATCTAAAAATGATTTAGGTAATTTCTAAGGGTCCTCTAGCACTAAAGTATAGTTCTTTGATGTTTCCAAGCAACAGAAGAATATTTTTTTAATATGCCACTCTGACAGTTCAGGGTGAATTCAGACATTGAGGATAATGAAGCCAATTTCCTATAAAAGTTGTGGTTGTTTTTCAGTGCATCTATCCTTTCTCTGTCCTCCACAACAGGTGTCACCAAGCTTTTTCTGTAAAGAGTCAGACAGGAAATATTTTAGGCTTTGAAAGCCACACTGTAGTCAGTGCTACTTGCTTCTGCTGTCATAGTGGGAAAGCCAACAGAGACAGTACTTACAAGTGAACGGAAGCGACTTTGTTTACAACAAAACTTTATTTTCAACAACAGGCAATGGGCTGGACTTAGCCTGTGTGTCAGTATTTGCCATATTGTGGTGTATTGCACACAGAAATGTCTTCAGTCCTACTATCCCGATTGTAGATGAGAAAATTGAGGTATAGAAACCTTGAGTGGTATCATTCCAGTTAAAATGACCCTAGTTGAGGACACAGATCTACAAAAATGTTGCTAAGGCCAATGCCAGAGAGACTGCTGCCTATGTTTTCTTCTAGCTTTATGGTTTCAGGTCTCACATTTAGGTCTTTAATCCATTTTGAGTTTATTTTTGTGTACAGTGTGAGAAAGTGTCCAGTTTCATTCTTTTGCATGGTGCTGTCCAGTTTTCCCAACACCATTGGTTGTATAGAGTGTCTTTTCCCTGTTGTGTATTCCTGCCTCCTTTGTTGTAGATTAAGTGACCACATAAGCTTGGGTTTATTTGCTCCCTATCCTGTTCCGTACATCTGTCTGTTGTTGTGTCCATACCATACCGTTTGATTATTACATCTTTGTAGTATAGCTTGAAATCTAGGATCATGATACCTCCAGCTTTGTTCTGAGTAGGTCTCCTCAAGAAAGGGAAACAAAAGAATAAATTATGGGGGCTACATCAAAATAAAAAGGTTTTGAGGTGCCTGGGTGGCTCAGTCGGTTAAGCGTCCTACTTCGGCTCAGGTCATGATCTCACAGTTTGTGGGTTCAAGCTCCGTGTTGAGCTCTGCGCTGACAGCTCGGAGCCTGGAGTTGCTTCGGATTCTGTGTCTCCCTTTCTCTTTGCCCTTTCCCCGCTCACGCTGTCTCTCTCTCTCTCTCTTTCTCAAAAATAAACATTAAAAAAAAAAAAAAAAAGCTTTTGCACAGCAAAGGAAACTATCAACAAGACAAAAAGGCAACCTGTTAAATGGGAGAAGATATTTGTTAGTGATACGTCCAATAAGGAGCAAATCTCCAAAATATAGAGAGAATGCCTCCAGCTTAGTAACAAAAAACCAAACTATCTACTTAAAACATGGGCATAAGCACTAAATGGACATTTTTCACGAGAGTCATATAGAGATGCTGAACATGAAGAGGTACCGAACATCACTCATCATCCGGGAAATGCAAATCCAAACCACAACAAGATGTTACGGTATCCCTGTTGGGATGGCTGGAATCCAAAAAGACAAGAAATAACAGGTTTTGGTGAGGGCGTAGAGAAAAAGGAATGCTCGTGCGCTACTGTAAACTGGTGCAGGCACTGTGGAAAACATTGGGGAAGGGGTGTTCCTAAAGGAATTAAAACCAGAGATACCGTATAATCCAGTAATAACATTCCTGGGTATTTAGCCAAAGAAAACGGAAACACTAATTTGAAAAGATACGTGCACCCTTATGTTTATTACAACATTATTTATAATAGCCAAGATATGGAAGCAGCCCAGGTATCCACTGATAGATGATTGGATGAAGAAGATGTACATACATAGAGCGGATTGTTACTTAACCATAAACAGAATGTGATTTAGCCATTTGTGACAAGATGGATATACCTGAAGAGTATTATGCTAAGTGAGATCAGAGAAAGACAAGCGTCCTGTAATTTCATTTCTGTGTAGATCTAAAAAACAAAACAAATGAACAAAGAAAGAAACAAAAAAACAGATGCTTAAATACAGAGAATGCACTGATGGTTGTCAGAGGTGAGGTGTGTGGGGGGTTAGGTGAAATAGGTAAATGGTATTAAGAGGTACAAACCTCCAGTTATAAAATAAACAAGTCAAGGAAAGAAATGCGAAAGAAAATGACCCTAACCACATGGTAATGGAATTCTTTTTGCATATATGATGTTCATAGAAGATTCTTTTTCTTCCTCACCAGGTAGAATACATGGAGAGGGTCTAATCTCTTAATTTTTCACAAGTTTTACCTTGTGATTAGAAAACGCGTTGCTGGGTCTTTACAGGAATCGTTTTACGTATGATTTTTGCCAAGGTTTGCAACACTTTTCCTTTTTCAAATGTAGAAACAGATACAAAAACTGGTGTGATGTGATTTGTTAACTAGATTTGGATACCTTACAAGCATATCACGTAAATTACTACCAAGCGGTGTGTCAGATGAATTTCAAAATCAGCTTTATGAAGCAATGTCTTTGGAATTACTTTGAACTGAAATAATTAGAAATTTATTTATTATGAGGTCGAGGAAGCGTATTTTTCCCTCTCCAATTTCATGGCCTAGAGGATAGTTTGTTTTGTGTGTGTCAAGACATCATGGTCTTCTCCGTGTATTGAAAGTAGGCCTAACGTGGTCATACTGGAATCTGTGCTCATTATATAGTTAATTCAACCTGAATGAAAACTGCCAAAAAGTTTTTATCTCCAGGAGAACCCTGAAAGTGCGTGTGTTTAAGGAAGTTTTCGTTATGAATCGGAGCCAGGATTTGAACCCATAAAGTTTAGTCAAATAGGTGTTCTTAGAGTATTGATTTTAAAAGAAGTTGAAGTTTTCAAATAAAATTTTGTCTTACCAAATAAATGGTTCAGTTCCCCCCCCCCCCCACTAAAAATTGACCATATCTATCTTTTCAGGGACATCAAACCTGACAACATATTGATGGACATGAATGGACATATTCGGTTAGCAGATTTTGGTTCTTGTCTGAAGCTGATGGAAGATGGAACGGTAAATAAAGCTAAATCTGAAGTCATTTCATCCATAGATCTCCCCCTTGCTACTTGTCCTCTTTATCTGCTTTAGAATCCACGTATTTATAGTAGTTAACTGTCCATCCACCCGTCCGTCCGTCCATCCATCCTTTTGACTTTCTCCGCGCCACCTTTTCCTACAACAGCGTTTAGGCATACTGACTCATAATAGGGTTTGTTTATAAAGTCCTTGGCCATTTTCACTGTGTATGTTAGTGGTGGTAAGATTGATACAGTGCGTCTTTTAGGAGAACTTTGTGTCTTCTTTAGAGGGACTGTTGATTGCACTTGAGATATTTTCACAGTTTTAGAGAAGGGAATGAAGTCGGTCCCAGATGGAAGAAGAAAACGTGGCTCCTTCCTCACCTTTATTTTTTTCATCTTTCTTCCCTAGTTGTCTAGTTTTTGTTTTGAGGGACAATGTTCAACAAATGAATGCTTTACTCAGGATAGGCTCTATGTGGATTCAGTTTTACGTGACCATTTGGTTTAGTTGTCCTAACCCTACATCTTTCAGCTGTTTTCTTTCACGTACATAGAAGTCTATATGCCCCAATTTATTCTCTGTTTTGTCTTGTTTTATTTTGCTTGCTTTTCAACTTCCTGGCTATATAGCAGAGGTCCAAATGTAAGTAATTTCAGTTGGCAGGCGCTGTTTTTGAGAGCAAAGGCCATGAAAATTTCCTATTATTCTGGATCAGTAATTTGACTTCTGAAAATTTATCCTAAGAAGATATCTTGAAAAAAGTAGATTATATGACTTCTGCCTCTGGTCATGATGAAAGGAGTGATTGGTTCCAAATTGTCCTCTCACTATAAACAACTATAAAAACGTACGTGGGGCGCCTGGGTGGTGCAGTCAGTGAAGCGTAAAACTTCGGCTCAGGTCTGATCTCACCGTTTGTGAGTTCGAGCCCCACGTCAGGCTCTGTGCTGACAGCTCAGAGCCTGGCGCCTGCCTTGGATTCTGTGTCTCCTTCTCTCTCTGCACCTCTCCCGCTTGCACTCTGTCTCCGTCTCTCTCTCAAAAGTAAATAAACATTAAAAAAGAAAAATTGGTGACAATACCAAATGCTGACAAGAATGTGAAGTCTGTCACTCACACATTACTGGAGGCAATGTGAAACGGTACAGACACCATAAAAAAGCTTAGTGGTGTCTTAAAAAAAATAAGCATGCAATCACCCTGTGATCCAGGAATTGCACACCTGGTGTTTATTCCAGAAAAATAAAAATTTGCATTCCCACAAAAACTGTACATTTATGAATGGTGACAGAAGCTTTATTTGTAATAGCCCCAAATTGGAAAACCAGATGTCCTTCTGATGGTTGGTTAAAGAAACTGGTACAGAGGTGCCCCGCCCCAGGGGTTTAGTCAGTTAAAGCATCCATCTCTTTAAATTTTTTTTTTTTTTCCTCAACATTTATTTATTTTTGGGACAGAGAGAGACAGAGCATGAACGGGGGAGGGGCAGAGAGAGAGGGAGACACAGCATCGGAAACAGGCTCCAGGCTCCGAGCCATCAGCCCAGAGCCCGACGCGGGGCTCGAACTCACGGACCGCGAGATCGTGACCTGGCTGAAGTCGGACGCTCAACCGACTGCGCCACCCAGGCGCCCCAAAGCATCCATCTCTTGATCTCAGCTCAGGTGTTGATCTCAGGGTCGTGCGTTCAAGCCCCGAGTTGATGAATCTTAGACTTCCTGTAAATCTGCCCTCCAAGGGTGTAATTGTAAGCTAACCCTTGTTCAAGGAGATCAGGAAGTATTTTTTTTTTTTATCTTCTTCTACAAGAATTAGTATCTTCAGAGAAAGATAACAGGATCCGTGCTCTGTGCTCCAACAGCTTACTGACAGTGACCAGCGTTCAATCAGAAATCACCAAACCAAACAAAAATGGGGACACGATAGGGATTACGATACAGAGTTAAAAAATAGAAGCAGTCAGGGGCACCTGGGTGGCCCAGTTGGTTGAATGTTTGACTCTTGATTTTGGCTCAGGTCGTGACTAAACAATTAAAATACAGCCTTGAAGATTGTTCAGGTAAGAAATCTCATCAGAGAAAGAAATCAAATAGACCCTTTATTTTTTAAAAAAATTTAATGTTTGTTTTTGAGAAACACAGAGCACAAGCAGGGGAGGGGCAGAGAGAGAGGGAGACACAGAATCTGAAGCAGGCTCCAGGCTCTGAGCTGTCCGCACGGAGCCTGACACGGGGCTCGAATTCACGAGCCATGAGATCATGACTCGATCTGAAGTCGGGTCACCCAGCTAAGCCACTCAGGTGTCCCTCAAATAGACCTTTTAGAACTTGAAAAGTATAGTAATAGAAATTTAAAAAATTCACAGGAGGAGGTTAATTCAGGTTAGAGATATGAGAAGAAAGTGCCAGTGAGTTTGAAGACAGGTCAAAAGAGATGATCCAGTCTGAAGAATAGAGAGAAAAAGACTGAAGCAAAATAAATAGAGGCTCAGGGATCCATAGGATTGGAATACTAGAAGAAGAGAGTGAAACAGGAGTAGGAAAACTTTGTAGGATTGGTGATTTTTACCAAATATGATGAAAACATAAATCTAAGAATCTTAGTGTATCTCAAGTTTATAAAAGGGACCCCACTTGTACACAATTAAGCTCCTGAAAATGAAACATAAGAGAAAAAATTGAAAGCCGCCAGAATTGAAAACATGTTCATAGTTTGGGAACATGGTAAGAATAACCACAGCTCTCTTGTCAGAAATAATGAAATGATGTCTTTGCAATGCTGAACGGAAAAAAAATGTGTAAACCAAGAGTTCTATGTCAAGCAGAGATATTATTCAAAAATGAAGGTGAATAAAAGACATTTTCAGTTACATAAAAGATGAGACATTAATCTCCAGCAGGCCTGGATACTAAGCAGTGTCCTTTAATCCAAAGGAGATGAATGATACCATTTGCATACTTAGATCGGTGGGATAAAGAATATCAGATATGATCAATAAGATAGGTAGGATAAAGACAGAAGACTATATTTCTTTGGAATGTGCATAAAAGGCATCCGATGACTGTTAAAAGCAAAAATAATAACACTGTCACGTGGGGTTATGATATACGTGGAAGTAACACAAACCACGTGAAATGGTCTGTGGAATCACACTGCTCGAGAATACCTGCTGTATGTGAGACGGGAAGTGGGCAGTAGATCGTGCCAGGCATGACACGAGAAGGGAGAAATCGCAGGGTGGTCTTGCTGAGTTGAGAAACCACAGATCAAAGTCAGGAGGCTGTGGCATCAGGAAGTTGTGGATCAGAATCTTAGAGAGGAGAGAGTCACACGGAAGAAGAATTCCCTGGAAAGAGCTAGCGTTTCCCCACTTCCGCATGTTATCCGCTCCTTAGACTCACAGCTGGGACTCTGATTCGCAGCCTTCCAGATCCCTGTGCATCCCAGGATGCAGTGCGTACCGTTTCTGTCCGCAGGAGTCACCCCCGATCAGGTTTATTCCTGAAATCGTGGTGCGTCTTCCCAATCATTCATTCTTTATTGATGACCTCAAAATAAATTTCCTGGACATAACAGCAGGTTTATCCTCCATTTAAAAAATTATAATGAGGGGCTCCAGGGGCTCCATGTAGAAAATTATAATGAGGGGCTACGACTTTGACTCAGGTCATGATCTCACGGTTGGTGAGTTCAAGCCCTGCGTCGGGCTCTGCACTGACAGCCTAGAGCCTGCTTCGGGTTCTGCCCCTCCCTCCCTCCCTCTCTCAAAAATAAATAAACATTTAAAAATTTTTAAAAATTATAACGAGTAAGCCTTTGTACTAGTTTTCTTTCCATTTAATTTCTTTTTCCTTGAAGCGATCTATATGTATTTTAAGAAGGGTTATTGTAAAAACTGCATTCTTGTGTCCTGTTGTTTCTACTCTGGATCTCTTTTGCTAAAGGAAGACACTTACAGACTTCTGGCTTTTCTTCTGTCGTTTCTTTTACTTACGTATTTCTGGTTACCATATTTTGCTACTATCTTTTGATTATTTAGTTTTAGATTTACCTGTTAATTTCCTACCGTGGAAAATTTCCTACCGTCTCATCCAACCCATACGCTTTCGTCTTCCTAGTGTAAGTATCACAGTCTTTCCTCAAATCCTATTCAGTTATGATTTTATACAAAATATTGTTCATAGTGCTGCCATGTGGTTTATTTTAATTATAATTATTTTCTTGAACAGCTTTTTGTTGTCCTTGGAGTAAGTGACCACTTTGCCTGGTTTTCTGTGTAATCCTTGCCAGTTTATCCCCAAACTCTCCACCCTGTAATTCCTCTCTCTCTCAGACACATTAAGTCACTTAGCGGTTCCCTTTTATCTTTTGGAGATGGCTACCCTAGAGCCTTGCCACCCCCCTTTCTAATCTGGACTGTTCTGTTGGCCTGTCGTAGCACAGTCATGCCACTACTGTCCTACCCCTCATCATGGGATTAGCTGCACGGCTCTGTAGTGGTACCTCCTCTGTCTCCTGGGTCCCGTGTGTGGCTTTCTTTCCCCCCTGGTAGTAGCTGCCTGAGAAGGGTTCTGGGGAAGTAAATATTTTATCATCTTGCACATCTTAAAAATGGCATCACTTCTACCCTCATACTTGATTGATAATTTATTTGGGCATAGTATTATAGATTTGAAATTATACCTAGCAGGCATTGCCTTGTCTTCTAATTTACTGTGGAGACATCTGTCGACATTGTAGTTCTCAATTCTTCTATTGTAACCCTCCCCACCCCCACCTTATCTGGAAGCTTGTGGAAAATTTGTCCCAGGGTTCTGAAATGTTATGATTATATGACTTTGGATAGGATTTATTTATCACCTGGGCAGCTGCCTCAATTTTAACCTTTCCCAAATTTTATGACTTTCCAAGTCAAGTGTCACCTTGCTTTTTGGCTCTCACCTGCAAGTTAAAACTCTGCCATCTTACTCACTACATGTCTTTATAAGAAG